CTTGGTTTCCACTGTTTTCGGAAACTTCTTCACCTACTCAATATATTGTTTTCTAGTTTCGCTGAAAGTAGTGTTTGCTTTTCTACCCTGCTGACTGTACCTGCTGTTTTGACATTAGAAGTATCAAAGATTCATGCAAAGGAGAAGACAGGGCCGAGGTCAGACAATTATCAGTGGTTAATGGAATCATTATTTGTTAAATGACCCCATACGCACTAGGAACCTAGGGCTGTAACCAGAGGTTTCTATATACCAGGACAGTATTGGAAGTCTATAATCACATCTACACAAGACACATGCCATCCATTTTGACAGGCGAACCAATGTTTCCTCTCTGTAACAGGACATTTCTGGGGTACAGTTATGCATGCTCAGAAAGGGCCATGAAAACACACCACTGTGTTAAGTGATACAGGTATAAGTTTGGGTTTATTAGAGGAAAAACATATAAGCAGAAAGTAGTAGAGTGCATGCCATCCCTGGAATCGAATTATCCCTCAGCTGAGGCCAGGCATGGAGGTTTACATGCACTGTGACCAACATTCCAATAAACACTGATCTCCATGCCCTTAATACTGTAAATATCTATAGCGACGAGGTGGTTCTGCCTATTTGACTAACGTGGACCTGCCGAGCCAGTTTTCCGCCAAATTACCAAAATGAAGGAAGAAATGAGTGTCCAGGACCATCCAGATTTGTCTCCCTTCAGTTGTTTTGGAGATGTGGTTTAACCCATGAACTATCTGAATGTTCTTACAGTTCTCATGTTCACCAATTATGCTGTGATGGGATTTTTACTACGTTCACTTTAATGGCTCCTCAACGGGAAGACAGTTGCCCTACAGCCATAACCTCACTCCATCTCCATTTCCTTATCTCTAGAAAACGAGGTGCAAGGATCGAGGCCAGTGGTATGTGACAATTACTATTCTGCCAAAGTAAATTTAGAAGCTGAAAGATAGGACGCCACTTCTAAAGCTATGCGGCTGTTTTTATGCCCTGAAGCTTAGCTCTCTGCGCCACATTTAATGAGACTGGCTGACCTTTAAGTCCCTTTCAACCTTGAGATTTGATTCTGTAACTAACAGTACAGTGTAATTTTTTTTTAAAAAAATTATTTAGCAAAAAAGGCTAACCACTAGAGGGCAGAAATATTACAAGTCAGAAAGGAGTGATGGCTGCTACAGTGAAGTACACTTGTGACTTTTACAATTCTTATTTCAATTAAATCCCACAAAAATTTTATTGCCTGCCAACTCCATTCTATAATCTGTGTCATGCTAAGAGTCCAGTGACTAATAATGCTAACAGTTCACAACTCAAATATGCAACTGTAAGAACAAATGGCCACGTGGTAACCCATTTCATTTGTTTAGAAGTCTATATTAAGCACTTACTGTGTGCCAGGTGCTGTTCCATGGACTCAGGATACATCCGCTACCAAAGCAAAGATCCCTAATCTTGTGAAACTGACATTCTGGTGGGAGGACAGATCCAATAAAAACTAAAATAAGCCAGGCACGGTGGCTCACGCCTGTAATCCCAACACTTTGGGAGGCTGAGGCTGGCGGATCACGAGGTCAGGAGATCAAGACCATCCTGGCTAACACGGTGCAACCCCGTCTCTACTAAAAATACAAAAAATTAGCTGGGCGCGGTGGTGGGCGCCTATAGTCCCAGCCACTCAGGAGGCTGAGGCAGGAGAATGGCGTGAACCTGGGAGGTGGAGTTTGCATAAGCCGATATTGTGCCACTGCACTCCAGGCTGGGCGATAGAGCAAGACTCCGTGCAAAACAAAACAAAACAAAACAAAACAAAACAAAACAAAAACAAAAAACCCTAAAATAAATAAGTCAATGATGTAGTGTGTTAAAAAGTGATCAGTGCTAGCCGGGTACTGTGGCTCACGCCTGTAATGCCAGCACTTTGGGAGGCTGAGGCGGGTGGATCACCTGAGGTCAGGAGTTCGAGACCAGCCTGGCTAACATGGTGATACCCCATCTCTACTAAAAATACGAAAAATTAGCTGGGTGTGGTGGTGGGTGCCTGTAATCCCAGCTACTCCAGAGGCTGAGGCAGGAGAATCGCTTGAACCTAGGAGGCGAAGGCTGCAGTGAGCTGAGGTTGTACCATTTTGCACTCCAGCTTGGGCAACAAGAGCAAAACTGTCTCAAAAAAAAAAAAAAAAAAAAAAAGGATCAGTGCTGTGGAAGAAGGAAACGGTAGAACTGCATACAGGGGATTGGGATTCAAGTAAAGTGTTGCAATTTTAGGTGGGGTGAGGAGAGTAGCCTCAGGGAGGGGACATTTGATCACGGCTGAGGTGAGCAAGTGGCCCATGCAGCAAGCAGAGGATAACGTGTTGCAGGCAGAGGGAATGTGAGAAGGTCCTAAGGCAAGGCAGTCATTCGTAGTAGCTGAGATTGAGGTAAGAGAAGGTAGACCATGAGAATGTTGTTAGGCTGTTGTGAGTACTTCAGTTTTTCCCGTGAGAGAAATGGGGAGCCACTGAAGGATTTTGTGCAGAGGAGGGATATTTTTAGATTCATTCTGGCTGCAGAGTTGACCAAAGTCTCAGGGTGTTATCTCTTAGGGAAGCTTCCACGTATTCTGTTATCAGCTCATCAAAAAACAGAATGAAGGGCAGCTGAAGGCACCCATATTGCTGTCACCATTCAGTGAATAGCAGCCTTGAAAACTGATTATATGTATTGGAGTTATCTTGTCATACCCAGGTAAATTAGAGTCCAGAAATGAGGGAGAAGAGAAAGCATTTGGGGCACAAAGTGCTTGCCCAGGAATTATATTGAAAGCCAGCTGCCAAGGTGACCTGCTATATAACCTGAAGACCAGTTTTACCTAGTAGCTGCTGAAACTCTAAGACTAGTTTTACTTACCACTTTCTCTCACAAATTAGAGCTTGCCTGCTCCTAAACACTTGGCTTAGGGTCAATGAGCTATCTTTCAAGGCAATACATAACATTTCTCTAATGAAACCTCCAACCATTTCTTTGTTCTTCTGAAGACTACCCAAGTCTGTGTGTATGCCCTGAACTGCAATTCTGTTTTCCCAAATAAAATGATTTAGAGACTCATCTTTGTATTTTTAATTGATCTTGACACAGCCAATTCACATATATCCCTACTGTGCCACATGCCAGGCACCATGCCAAGTACATTACATACTTTCTCATTTAACCCTTCCCACCTTCTATATAATCACCACTATTGGTGATGATTTTATTCTACTATTATTTTTTGAGACGGAATTTTGCTGTTGTTGCCCAGGCTGGAGTGCAGTGGTGCCATCTCGGCTCACTGCAACCTCCGCCTCCTGGGTTCAAGTGATCCTCCTGACTCAGCCTCCGGAGTAGCTGGGATTACAGGTGTGCACCATCACTCCCGGCTAATTTTGTATTTTTAGTACAGATGGGGTTTCACCATGTTGGCCAGGCTGGTCTCGAGCTCCTGACTTCAGGTGATCCGCCCACCTCAGCCTCCCAAAGTGCTGGGATTATAGGCGTGAGCCACCACGCCCAGTCCTGGTGATGATTTTAAAGACAAGAAAAGGAAATTGTAAAAGTTAGTGACCGGCCCAACATTTAGATCAAGTAAATGGAACCTGTGTAAGGTAACTTGAAGAACTCTGTTTACTCATGTGAACACTACCCAAGTAAGGTTTAGTACCCCAGTACTGAGGAACTAAAGATGGTGGTGGTAAGGGGGTGGGGAGGGGCATCAGTGTTTGAGTTCAACCACCACACGTTTCTTCATTTTTAAGTTCTGTCTAGCCATTATACCACACATTTGTCTGCACTATAACTGGACTTCTGCACTGTTGATAGTCCTAAGTTTCCTCTAAAGCTTGGCATCTGTGTGGTTTATTTGGCAGAGATTTGGACTTTCAAAGGGACGATACCCATCACTGGGGATTTCTCTCAAACCCTGGCGGTTTAAAAATCTACTTGGGCACTGCTTTTCAGACGGTGGACCAGTGAGGCAAGCACAGAAATAGAAAGCAAGCATTTGTAAGCGTTAGTAGCTACTTTAAAGAGTAACTTTGTTCTGTTAGACCTACTAATAACAAATCGGAGCTTGTATTTAGCACATCTTTTTTTTTTAACCTTCATTTTTCTCCCATTTTATAGTATTTTACCTGAGAGGCTGAATATACTAAGACAATGGCCAAACCTAATATAAAAACAGACCTCTAATCCACAACCTGCAGCAACCTGCCCAGAAAACCAGTCCATTATCTACAATAAGCAACCCAGGGAGCCTTCCTGCTCTCAATCAGACTTGCAGGAAGCCAGATTGCTGTCTCTAACAACAGTCTAGGAAGCTGAACAATAACTTCTGTAACAACTGGGCTCAAGTGGCCAGGACTTAATAACTGATAGCTTTGTTAATTTTTGTCCTTGCTTCCAAGTTAGGACCGACCAGAGAAAGGCAACTATGCCCCCTAACCAATCCCTGGGATATTCCACTTCTAGGGAGCCGCCTCCAGACTCCGGTCTGCGCACACCTGAAGCCTTCCCTTTTGTCCACCCTAAAGCGTCCCCACTCCTCTGTCTGCCTTTGCGTCCCTCCCCAAAGGCAAAGGACAGTGGCTGACGCCTTTGCTCTTCTCGTTCAGATGGTCTTCATTTATTCCCACATACGCGGGGTGGGGAGGAAATTAGCAAAAGCAAAACTCGGGTCCTGCGCGCAGGCAGCTTAAGTACGGCCCTAGGGCTCGGGTCTCCCCTAGGCAGGAACCTCGAAGGCCGGAGACGGACGGCCGGAGTAAATGGTCGCGAGATTTTGCGGGGTAGCAAGGGCCCGGGTGCCCACGGTGGGAGAAACTACACAAGCCTGGAGGCGAGCCTAGCCCTTCATCTCGCCGGGTTTCACGAAGGAAGCCGGAGCTTTCCGGAGTGAGGGTGGAGCGTCCTGCGCGCGCCCTCTGCGCATGCGCCCGCCCAGTGCCCGCCCCTCGACCTAGAGTTGATGTCACATCCGGCGGCGGCGGCGGCGGTCCTGAGTTTTGTCTCCCAGGCCGTCGGGGCGCGCGCGGGTGTCCCGGGTGTCCCAGGTGTCCCGCCGTCTCCCTCCTTCCCGCAGGACTCGCCCCTCCTGGCCCTGGGCCCCAACGGTGCCCGCCTGCCCGGCGGTCGGTCAGCGCAAAGGGCACGGCTTCCTCTGCTTCTCCGGACCACTTAGTCTCAACCCGGGTGTGTTTCCACTTCTAGAGGTGAAGCATCCATCATAGAGAGAATGGGACCTGGGGTCTTGGACCACGGTGTTTTTACTTTTCCCATCAGGTGGACGCGCATGGGCAGGAGATTTTATTTGCAATGTTTCCTCCTAGAGGATGCCTTTGTCATTGTAGTGCAATCTAAGAATGGGTGTCCTTAGACAACGGGGACCGACCGAATCGTCATGCAACTTTTTGGATACCTTAAAAAAAATAAATCCCCACACTCATTACGCGTTTTATGCTGCTGACTTTTTTATTTTTAAGACATCTGCTCCCGAAAGCTCAGAGTCCCTTTAGCATTTCATTTTCAAAACGAATCCTAATCTTTCCTGTGACTGGATCGGTTCAGAGGATATCTTTTCAATAAGGAAGGAAGCCCTCCCTTGCTCACTGGGGACGTCTCAGGATTTTTAAACCTAAAGATTTACTCTTGTGCACAGAGCCTGGAAGCATTTGGGTGAGGCAGTGCCGTGCTTTTTTGCGAAATGCATCACATCTTTTCTGTTCTTGAAACGCCAAATCTAACTTGGTCTTTTTTTGGATGAGTTACGTCCAGTATTATGAAGGTTACTGTGAAGGAACCTGAGACCACTGAGCTTTTTGAGTTCTTGCGATAGATTTTAAATCGTTTTTCTGGCTTCAACTCTGACTTTGGGATCACTGTCAATCGGCTACATTCTTTACCCTCTTCTCGTTATCATTTAATGCAATTTATCTGTTGTACGTTTTGAATTTTGATAGTTACACTTAATAGAATTGTGTTTAAGAGAAAAGTGAGAAACTCGTGGCTTTTTACTTTTATATAACTTAATTTTTCATTTTGCAAAATGCCCATTTAAAAAAACATAGCTAAGCTAAGGAAAGGAAATAAAAATAATCTAGAATCCTACTACCTAAAGATAACCATTGCTAACATTTTGGAATAGAGTGTTAATTTTTAAAATACATGAAATTTGTAAAAAACAATGAAATCATAGTGTATACTGTTCGAGTATAATTTTTTTGACATATCTTGCCTAGCTTCCTTTTCACTTATTTTTTTTTCCTTTGCACATTTATGCTAACTACAGAATGTTCTATTGTGCTAGGCACTCATAGGTATAGTGGGAAACCTAGTGCATAAACCTTGTGCCATCTATTTTAGCAGCTCAGAGAACTTTTATATCTTGGTTTATGGCCGAGATGCATAGGTGGATGGTTGTAGAACTGAGTAAAAGGAAATCTTTAATATTGGGTCCTATGCAAGGGTACATCAGATTTATTGAAAAGGTAGAGAACATCACTGAAAATTATTCTAATTCTTGACTCATTGTTTCTACACTCACTTTTCCCCTTCGTCTCTCTCTCTTTCTGTGTCTCCTCCAAGAATGAAATATGACTGACGACTCTCAGAGAAACTTTCGTTCAGTATATTATGAGAAAGTGGGGTTTCGTGGAGTTGAAGAAAAGAAATCATTAGAAATTCTCCTGAAAGATGACCGTCTGGGTGAGTACTTTTTAAAATTAATCTCATTGGTTCTCAGTCATTCCACATGTTCTGAAGTAAGTATTTTCTTAAAAGACATCCAGAAGCATTGGTTGCTTGTTGTATTTTTTAGTGATGTGTTGAAGCAGAATGGTGTATTTTGAGAAAAGTTATAGATTTTTCAAATTTATATTTCACTGAGGGTCAGAAGTTTTTGAAAGGTTTCTTAAGAAAGTCGTTAATATTTTTTCTTTTATTGAACCTGTATGTTTTCATGTATTATCTAGGTAAATTTGCAATAACTCTGGTCATGATTTTTTTCTTCTTTTTTTTGAGACCGAGTCTGACTCTGTTGCCCAGGCTGTAGTGGAGTGGTGCGATCTGGGCTCACTGCAACCTACGCTTCCTGGGTTCAAGCGATTCTCCTGCCTCAGCCTCCTAAGTAGTTGGGATTACAGACATGCGCCACCATTCCTAGCTATTTTTTATGTTTTTAGTAGAGACAGTCACCATGTTGGCCAGGCTGGTCTCAAACTCCTGACCTCAAGTGATCCACCCACCTCGACCTCCCAAAGTGCTGGGATTACAGGCATTAGTTACTGTGCTCAGCCCATGATTTTCTTCTATGGAAATACTAAGAGTGCACTGTATATTGACATTTTAGTTTATTTTAAGCCAGTCTGAATAAGGTCTGTTGTTGACTAAAGTAAAATCAACTGAACCATATTTAAAGATAATACTTTATTTGCATAGAGTACTTTTAAAGTTTCTGAAACGTTTCTCACCTTATCTTTGATCTTCAGCTGTACAGTCTTTGCTTTAGTATGTCTGGTATTCTCCTTTGATAAGTAGAAGAATTGAGGGTCAGGGAACTAACTGTAATTTACTGGAAAATGTAGGGTTTTGAAGGTGGACTGCACCACTTACTAGCTGTGTTAGTTTTATCAAATCATTTAACTGCTTTGAACTTCAGTTTCTGCATTTTTAGAACAAGAACTACCTAACAGGCTTGCAATGTGAATTGAATGAAATAACCCTGTAATTAATAACTACCACTGTTATAGGGAATGTAGTAATGTATGCAAAATGCATCTCCAATGCTGTAAAATGCAAATTGTTTTTATTTTTATTATTATTTTTTTAAGACAGCGTCTCACTCTGTTGCCCAGGCTGGAGTGCAGTGGCATGATCTTGGCTCACTACAACTCCTGCCTCCTGGGTTCAGGTGGTTCTTCTGTCTCAGCCTGCTGACTAGCTGGGACTACAGGTGTGTGCCACCATACCTGGCCAATTTTCGTATTTTTAGTAGAGATGGTGTTTCGCCATGTTGGCCAGGCTGGTCCCAAACTCCTGACCTCTAGTGATTTGCCCGCCTCAGCCTCCCAAAGTGCTGAGATTACAGGTGTGAGCCACTGCGCCTGGCCACAAATTGTTTTAAAATAACTTAGTTGGCAGAAGTCTTGGGCTAGAAATCAGACTAGTATTACTTCTTCTAAACTTACTGACCATATGGTAGACATCCCCTGAAGAAATGTCTTAACTATTCTTTCAGTTTTAAAAAATGAAATGTACTTTGACATACTGTGATCAGCATGAAAAGCTTCTAACAATTGTTTTCTTCTTCCTCTAGATACAGAGAAACTTTGTACTTTTAGTCAGAGGTTCCCTCTCCCATCCATGTACCGTGCATTGGTATGGAAGGTGCTTCTAGGTATGAGACCCAGGAGTTGGAAGATTTATCTTCAAAAATATTGAATAATGGGATCATTTGCTATCTTATCAGTCAGAAAAAGGAAAATTTGTTTAGGCCTTTTATTGAATATTGGATCTTCCCCAGGAGGTTCAATTACCACTCATTATTTTCTGTTCTATTAATGATACTATAGAAGAGAAAATAGTGTATGTTCCTGAGACAAGATCTGGGAAGAGCACTGGACTAGGAGGAATGAGAATTGGTTTAGGCTTTGCTATCAGCTGGGTGACCTGGAGGAAGGCGAGCCCTCTTGGACGCATTTTTTGCATCTATAAACTGAGGCTTTTGAGCTAAATTACTCCTAGTTTTTAGCTCTAAGTTTGTAATATTTTGTGATTCTCAGCTATAAAGGTATAACTTCCTAATGAGTCAAAGAGGAATTGGAGACTTAATACTCCCTAGAAGTGTGAATGACTGAATTCTAGCAGTGTGAGTGGCTGGATAAGACGGAAAACTGATCTTACTTAGTTTCTATGGAGGAAAACATGAATTAAGTGCCATGAGTAACTGGCAGCATCCCTTCTGAGCCCAAGATTTTCTTTCCCCTACCATTGCTGAGCCTGCTGGAGCATATAATTCCTATCCATTACCATCCTCCTTTTCTTTCATAAAAAAAGTATTTTTGGCTGGGTGCGGTGGCTCACACCTGTAATCCCAGCACTATGGAAGGCCAAGTAGGGCAGATCACGAGGTCGGGAGATTGAGACCATCCTGGCCAATATGGTGAAACCCCCTTTCTACTAAAAATACAAAAAATTAGCTGGGCGTGGTGGCGTGCGCCTGTAGTACCAGCTACTCAGGAGGCTGAGGCAGAAGAATCTCTTGAAGCCAGGAGGCGGAGGTTGCAGTGAGACAAGATGGCACCGCTGCACTCCAGCCTGGGAACAGAGCAAGTCTCCGTCTCCAAAAAAAAAAAAAAACAAAAAACTTACAGTTTGTTAACTGTAAGATAGTGGTGACGACTAAATTCCTTGAAGAATATAAACTATGATTGATCCTTATTGGGCATCCCTGTGTGCCTATCAGTAGGCTAAGTCATTTACACAGATTGTACAGAGTAATCCTAGAATCCCCTGTGAGGCAGGTATTGGTATCCTAATTTTGCAGGTGGGGAAGAAGACTCTCTGAGGCTAAATAACTTGCCTAAGGCATTATAGCCTGTAAATGGCAGAGCTAGGATTTGAGCTTACGTTTGTGAAACTCATTTGAGGGTAAGATAGATTGTGATTCTCCTGCCTCAGCCTCCCGAGTAGCTGGGACTACAGGTGCGTGCTACCATGCCCGGCTAATTTTTTGTATTTTGGTAGAGATGGGGTTTCACCATGTTGCCCAGGCTGGTCACGAACTCCTGAGCTCAGGCAGTCCACCCGCCTCGGCCTCCCAAAGTGCTGGGATTACAGGCGTGAGCCACCGCACCCAGCCCACCTTCCTTTATCATGTCATAGTTATTTTTTGAGGAAAAGGCACTGGAAGTTTAGAGCCTGCCGCGCTGTGTAGGACACAGCCTGACTCTTCCTAGCCCAGAGTTTTGATTATTTAGGGATCTTTACTTCAAATGCCTACTTCTTGGTACTATTTTAGTTAAATATCAGAAAGAGGTTTTTTAGGACCAGCTCTTAGAATACAGGTTTAAGGGTTAACGTGCTGCCTCTACAAGTGTGATGAGGGTTCGGTCACAGCTGTTTAATCTGTATTAATCGAGATGTAGGAGACTCTTTAGCATGTTCCTTGGCTTTTCTGGAAGCCTGGCTCGCAGGCTCATAGCAATGATGAGTTAAAGATTTATTTCAGGGAAAAGAACATTTAAGCAAGTCTTTTTTCTAACATTAACATGGTATCATATTAGCTACTATTGTTTTTGTTTTCTGGGGTATTCTTTAGAATACTAAACCTGTGGCATTTTGCACCAAAGAGGGATTCATAGTCAAATGTACTAGCTAACACTTACACTAGCTTAATGTTTGCCGAGTACTCTCCTGAATGCTTTGTGTATATTGATCTGTTTATTCATCTCAACAACTGTATGATATTAGGTATTGTTATTGCCGTTTCTCAGATGGGGAAGCTAAGACATAGGGAGATAAAGTGATTGCTAGAGCTCACCACCCAGCCAGTTAATTGTAGAGCTGGAATTTAAACCCAGCAACTTTGCTCCAGAGTCTGTGCTTCTGTGGAGCCTCATTAAGTTTAATGAGGCTCAAGTAAATAAAATGTTTTTTTGTTTTGTTTTGTTTTGTTTTGTTTTCTTTGAGACAGGGTCTTACTCTGTTTCCCAGGCTGGAGTGCAGTGGTACAATCACAGCTCACTATGGCCTCGACTTCCCAGGCTCAAGTGATCCTCCCACGTCAGCCTCCCGGGTAGCTGGGACTACAGGCATGTGCCACCAGACCTGGCTAATTTTTCTGTAGAGACAGCGTTTCTCAGATACCTTCACTCAGTTGCCCAGGCTGGTCTCAAACTCCTGGGCTCAAGTGATCTGCCGCCTTGGCCTCTCAAAGTGCTGGGATTATAGGCATGAGCCACCATACCTGGCCTAAAATGTTTTTCTTTATGGCAAAACTTAGAGCCATGAAAATTCATTGTCACCATTTCCCAAATCTGTTTGACAATGGCATTTTGTTTTCTCTTGGGGTTAGCATTCTGTGGAGAAGCATTTGCTGAAATGCTTATCCTGTTGCCTGCTTCTGACAGATGGGGAAACAAATGCCCAGAAAGACAGACACATTTGAGAGTCTTAGTATTATCCAATCTGAGGCTAGAACCCGGATGGCTGGCCTGTCTAGTGGTCTTTCCACTATGTTTTCTCAGAGCCATTTGTTTGTAAAAAAGATATGACACCATGTTTAAATGGGTTAATGAGCTTAATGTGTCACAGAAATGTCATGTAAGGTGGCCTCACCAATGAAGATTAAGGTCTTTTGTGACCTGGAGGATAGGATACTTAGTGAGCAAGTTTTAACTGTTGGGGAATAGAAGAATTCAATGGGCTGTTGGTGGTTCTGAGATGTAGGGGTCAAGTACAAAGACGAGGGTGAGACCCTCTGGGAGCTAAAGGCAGCCTGAGGCTGCCATAAATTAAATTAAACCATTGTTATAATTGATGTGGTTGTTAATCTTGAATGTATGCGGCACACTTATTGCCAGTGTTCTTATATCAATGATGCCTCAGCATTCAAACATTGATAATATTTCACATTTAAGATTGTTTTATAGTGAGAATTTCTAAAAGAGATTCTATATGCTACTTAAATATCTGTGTGAATTCTAGTCTAACTGTGTTGGGGCGCTTCTCACAGCATCCTTTTTCATAGATGAGGGATTTGGAGTGATGGCTCAGTATTTTTTCCTTTTTTCGTTTTTCCTATTCTCTCTAGGAATACTGCCTCCACACCATGAGTCCCATGCCAAGGTGATGATGTATCGTAAGGAGCAGTACTCGGATGTCCTTCATGCCCTGAAAGTCGTTCGCTTTGTTAGTGATGCCACACCTCAGGCTGAAGTCTATCTCCGCATGTATCAGCTGGAGTCTGGGAAGTTACCTCGAAGTCCCTCTTTTCCACTGGTTAGTGGTCGCTTTTGTCTGACACTAAACTCAAGTCTAGACTGTTCCATCTTGCCAGCCTTTGATTACATCATGCTTTGCCTTAAAACCTTTTGGTGGCTCCCTATTGTTATTATTGTAAACGTGACACATCTTTACTTGGCATTCATGGCCATGCACATTCTGACCCAACCTTCTTTTTTTTGTTATTTTAAAATACGTTTTATTTTGAAGTAATTTCAAACTTCTAGAAAAGTTGCAAGAATACTACCAAGAATTTGCATATACCCTTTACTCAGATTCTCCAGTTGTTAACATTATGTGCATCTGTTTTGCTTTGTCATTTTAAGACGTATTTTTTAAACACATTTTTTTTTTTTTTCCTAAATCATTTGAGAATAAGATGCAGACAGGGTTCCCTACTACCTCAGATTCCTTCAGTGTACACTTCCCAAAGACAGGACACCCCTGTAGATAGCCATAGTACAGTCCTCAAAACTAAGACGTTAACATTGATACAATAGTAACATCTCATCTACCAACTCCATTTGAATTTGACCAATAATGCCTTCACAAATAAGCAAACAGTCAAAGTTCTGGGTGAGGATTGGATCCTGGTTTAGGCTTTGCACTGGGTAATCATGTTGCTTTAGTCTCCTTTGACTTGGGACAGTTCTGTCTTGTTTTAATCTTTCATGGCTTGGACGTTTTTCAAGGGCATAATCAGATGCTTTGAAGAAAGCCCCTCAATTTAGGTTTGTCTGGTGCTCCCTCCTGATTAGATTCAGGCTATTCATTTTTGGTGGGGATACCAGGTGGGTGATGCTGTCTCCTTTTCTGTGACTCTTATCAGGAGGCACATAGTGTGGATTTGCCCCATAAGAGGTAGTGTTAACTTGGATCACTTGGCGAGGATGGTGCCTGCTGGAGTTTTCCACTGGAAATTGTTTATTTTTCCCTTTTTAATTACTGTTTCTCTTTGTGGGGAGACACTTGAAAACTGCTATGTAAGTATCCTATTCCTTATTGAACTTTTGCTCGTGAGTATTCTCATTTGACTATTTCTAAAAAAGTTTTATTTTTTAACTTTTAAAATAATGTTGGATGTAGAAAAAAGTTGCAAAAATAGTAAAGTGTTCTCAAATACTTTCTCCCAGTGTCCTCAAATGTTACATCTCATACAACCATAATGTAATGATCAAAACCAGACAGTCATAATACTGGGGGCTACTCTGTAGGCCTCATTGGGATTTTGCTGGTGTCCCACTGATGCTCTTCTTCTGATCCAAGATCCAGTTCCAGATCACACATTACATTTAGCTGCCACGTCTTAGTCTTTAATCTGGAACAGTTCTTTTTTTTTTTTTTTTTGAGACGGAGTTTTGCTCTTTTTGTCAGGCTGGAGTGCAATGGTGCGATCTCGGCTCACCACAACCTCTGCCTCCCGGTTGCAAGCGATTCTTGTGCCTCAGCCTCCGGAGTAGCTGGGATTACAGGCGCACACCACCACACCTGGTTAATTTTTGTATTTTTAGTAGAGACGGGATTTCTCCATGTTGGTCAGACTCGTTTTGAACTCCCGACCTCAGGTGATTCACCCACCTTGGCCTCCCAAAGTACTGGGATTACAGGCGTGAGCCACTGTGCCTGGGCTGGAACAGTTCTTCAGTCTTTGTCTTTCATGACCTTGACACTTTTGCAGAGTCCTGGCCTGTAGAGCATTTCTCAATTTGGGTTTGTCTCATGTTTCTCCATGATTAAACTCTGGTCATGCATTATTGGCAGGAATACTACAGAAGTATGAGACTCATTACTGTTGCTGCTAACTGTGATCACTTGGGTAAGATGGTGTCTGTGGAGTTTCTCCACTATAAGGTTACTATTTTCCTCTTTGTAATTAATAAGTAACTGTGGGGAAGTACTTTGAGACTTGTAAATAGCCATCCACTAATGGTTCTTATTCTTGCCTGAACCAATTTTTACCATGCTGGTTGCCAAATGGTGATCTAACTCCCTCATTCTTTCTGCATGTATTAGTTGGCATTCTTCTCTAAGGAAGAGTTTTCCCTTCTCCTTCTTTATTTCTATCAGTATGAAATTAAAGTGTTATTTGTTTGGCTAAAACAGTGAATTGTTCAAATGGATTTGCTGGAACACTCCTATTTTACAAAATTTATTTTTATTGCATAGCTTATATTTTTTGAAGTTAATGATGGGGTATCCATGGACAAACCTTAGAGCTAATAAAGATCATTTGTATTTATTATGTTTATCAAGAGAGAGAAGGTCCCTAAAAAATAATTGGAATAATTTAAGCAATCATCTTTAAATTTCACTTATTGGCAAATGGAAGTTGATAGTACTACACAAGTTCTTAAATTACATATCAAATTAAATTAGATAATCTGTTAGTTCAAGGAATTGAGATGACAGGGTATAGGTTCCCCCTCACCGCTACTCAGCTTGTCTGTCTTCCAAGCTGAGACACCTTTACTGCAGCCTCAGGCAGACACGCTTCTGAGTGAGTGTTTTGGACTCTGCCACCGCACGTCTCCCCAGTCATGGTCCTCATTGTGTTAGTCTGTTTTGGGTTGCTTATAACAGAATACCTGAAATTGGATAATTTATTTAAAAAAGAAATTTATTTCTTACAATTCTAGAAGCTGGGAAGTCCAGGATTCAGGAGCTACATCTGGTGAGGGCCTTCTTGCTGATGAGGACTCTCTGCAGGGTCCTGAGGTGGCACAGGCTATCGCATGGCGAGGGGGCTGAACGTGCCAACATGCACACCCAGGACTCTCTTCTTCTTAGGAAGCCACCAGTCCCATTCCTGTGATAACCCGTTAATCTATGAATTGACCCACTAATGAGGGCGGAGCCCTCATGATCCAGTCACCTCTTAAAGGCCCCACTTCTCAATACTGCCACATTGGGGATTAAATTTCAACATAAATTTTGGAGGGGACAGATGTTTGAACCATAGCAGCTACTTAGCGCCCGCTCTGCCTCATATTTTAATTCATTAATAAGAGGGTGCAGCAGCGCTCGGCACAGGGCCAGGAAGGATGACCTGGGTCCTCTTCTCTTGACCTGTCAGTGGTCAGGAGCAGTCAGTGATATGCCACCTTTGTGGGTGCCAAGCACAGTGCACAGAACTGCACGGGAGTCCAGGAAAGGAGATTTTTCCTTTCCCTTTTCTTCCTACTTATTTTCCATTCTCCTCTGACACATTAATAAAATGCTTAGAGAAAATTTATTCCCTATGATTTAAATTCTGTTTTTCTTGACATTTTATAGAATGTTAACAAGTTGAAAGAAGGGCTTAGAATGAAATAATACATTAAAATGATAATTTTGATTTAAGTTGGTACTTTTTAGGGGAAACTGTGATACTTCTTAGTTTCTTTTTAACATTAAAATCCTTCAGCTATTAAATCCTAGATGAAAATGTAAAGCTTTTTGTATACGATATGGTGTTTGAAAACAGAAGAGGTTTTCAAATAAGGTCCCAGTTTTTCTAAGATCTCTCTGTTGAAATTTCCCTGAGAGTTTACTTTCGCATTCTGAGTATTGACACAAGGTTTGAGAAATGCCATTCTTTTGATTCCCAAAATTCTGATTCTAGGAACATTTTAACTTTTTTACTGCTTAAGGTGGAACAAAATTCTGAAGGTATGCGTGAATGCTTTGAAATAAAGCAAATGCTTTATTAGTCTTTTTTTGGAGCTCTTCAATATTTGCAAATTACTGTGCTGAAAGATGTTTCCAGTTACTGATGGTGCCGTTTGTTACACCCTTTTCAAAGACATTCTCACCTAGTACCGAGGATATTTTTGGGTGGAGAGAGTCAGTGACTTGCTTATCATTTATGTTGACGCTGTGAGGGGCTTAATGTTAGAAGCTGGAGCATCTCTGTACACTCAGCCTGAAACCTGGTCATTCATAAGCAACACTGACCCTGTAGTTACTCATCCTTTTCTCCCCCTTGCGCCCCTCTTCAGGGATGGACTCTGTGCTTTTTGATCCCGCTTTGATTTATTAATGTAGCCTTTTCAAAATTTAGGGAGCAAGGTTTCATTTTTTATTAAAGAAATATGTATTCCTCTCTTTCACTGCCTTCCTCTTGAGATTTATTATTAATCTTTCAGGAGCCAGAAGATGAAGTATTTCTTGCTATAGCTAAAGCCATGGAGGAAATGGTGGAAGACAGCATCGACTGTTACTGGATCACCCGACGCTTTGTGAACCAATTAAATACCAAGTACCGGGATTCTTTACCCCAGTTGGTGAGGACTTTTTTTTTTTAGGCTATTGGAGAGTGAACAGTGGTATTGGGGGTCTTCAGGGAGTGCTCTTACCTCCTGAGGCTGCTACAATTATGAATAACCCTTTACAGTAGGACTCAGCAAGTGTTTTCTGTAAAAGCCCATGGAATCTAAATACTTCCAGCTTGGTGGGCCAGATGGTCTCTGTTGTAACCACTCAACTCTGCTGTTGTTGCACAAGAGCAACCTTAGACAACGCATAAAATAATGTTCCTGGCTGGATTTGCCCTGCTGCAGGCCATAGGTGGCCAGTCCTGCTCTATAGTATTCCTTATTCTGGTCTAGAATCTGCTGGTCTAGAGTAATCCATCTGTATAAGTTAAGGTTTTCATTTGGCTGCATATAATGGGAAGACCAAATACCAGAAGCTAAGAATCCAGGCAGTGCAGAACTCTCCATACCACAGTATGGAGAGGGTTGCAGACTCCTGCCATTCTGCTCCAGTATTTGTAGGCTTGATCTTTCCCCTCATGCTCACAAGGTGGCTCTTGGACCAGTGGCCATGACATCTGTGTTCTGGGCAGAAGGAAAGGGAAAGCAAAGGTAAACACAAAGGAATAAGAGGGACAGGCCAGCCAAGCCTGTGGCCCATTAGGCTTTCTCTCTGCATGAACAGCTGACCTTTGAGTAGTGGAAGGTTAAGAGAACTGACCCAACCCCAGCATAGTTGATACTCTGCATATAACTTTTGACTCCCCCAAAACCTAACTACTAATAACTTGCTGTTGACTGGAAGCCTTACTGATAACATAGATGGTCATTTAACACATATTTTGTACACATATTTTGTTTCCGTTTGTGTTTTTTTAAGATGGAGTCTCATGCTGTCACCCAGGCTGGAGTGCAGTGGCGTGATCTCGGCTCACTGCAACCTCTGCCTCCTAGGTTCAAATGATTCTCCTGCCTTAGCCTGCCAAGTAAGTGGGATTACAGGTGCCTGCCACCATGCCTGGCTAATTTTTTAATCTTTTTTTGTAGACACAGGGTTTCATCATGTTGGTCAGGCTGGTCTCGAACTCCTGACCTCAAGTGATCTGCCCACCTTGGCCTCCCAAAGTGCTGGGATTTACAGGCATGAGCCACCACACCCAGCCACATGTTTTGTTATATGTGTATTCACTATATTCCTGTAATGAAGTAAGCTAGAGAAAAGAAAATGTTAAGAAAATCATAAGGAAAATGAAATATATTTTCTATTTATGAAGTGGAAGTGGGTCATCACAAAGTCTTCATTCTCTTCGTCTTCACGTAGAGTAGGCTGAGTGGGAGGAGGGAGGGAAGGATGGTCTTGCTGTCTCAGGGGTTGGCAAAAGTGGAAAAAAATCCATGTTTAAGGGGACCTTTGCAATTCAAACCCATGTTGCTCAAGGGTCAACTATATGTTAGTGACCAGGACTGTGTCACTTGGCTGCCCTGTCTACAGTAGAGGCTGGGAAAGGTGCTCTTTTTTAAGAAAAGCCTTGTGATCTCCCACTAAAATGGGCTCTGTGAGTGACATCGGAGGGGCACATGGCAGTGTGGCAGGCAGCGAGCTGCTTCTGTCATAGCCTTGCTTGGGAAGGCAGAGAACTGAATGGTGCTTGCTGCATCGCACAAGCGAGTCTTCCTTTGCCATTTTCTTTTTTTTTTCTAGTTTTTTTTCTCTTATTTATCTCATTTATAAAAATAAATCTGTTTGTCTTAAATCATTGGGTTATGTCTTTTTAAAATTCTACTGAAAGTGGTAACTGTGGTATAGGGTGCAAGACCAGATGCCGGGCAGTGATGATGGTTGAATGGGCAGTGAGGATCACTGCAGTTCGTTGTTAATAAGGCAATGTGCAAGACCCTTCAGCTTCTGAGAACACTTACAAGAGCAGTTTTTATATATTTCAACTAAGCAAAATTTGATTTTTAAGATTTTGAAATTTGATCCACTCTGTTGATTTCAGTAAAAATAATTTAAGCATGGAAATGGAGCTTATGTAAATATGTCAGTTGCCTAATTAAGTGAGGAGGTCTCAGTTTTATCATACCATGATCTAATTAGCTTTTCTTATTTAATATTTGAGTAAGTCAGTAGCATTTTGATAGTTTATGCTATTCTTTAAAAATTCATCCTTTATTTTTTGTAACATAAGCAGTGAATGCATTCTCAAAAGAAATTAAGCAATTCAGATGAATCCATATTTCCCTAGACCTAGACTAACCACCCGATCCCTGCAATTGCCCACTTCCCCTTCTAAGAGGTAAACATTTGTCATTAGCTTGGTGTGTATTATTCAAGATTCTCTTATGTGCATGTATATATGATTTTTCTTTTTCTTTTTTTTTTTTTGAGTTGGAGTCTAGCTCTGTCACCAAGGCAAGAGTGCAGTGGTGTGATCTCGGCTCACGGGTTCACACCATTCTCTTGCCTCAGCCTCCCGAGTAGCTGGGACTACAGGCTCCCGCCACCACGCCTGGCTAATTTTTTGTATTTTTAATAGAGATGGGGTTTCACCATGTTAGCCAGGATGGTCTCGATCTCCTGACCTCGTGATCCACCCGCCTCGGCCTCCCAAAGTGCTGAGATTATTCACATTAAGTAGTAGTATACTGTACATATGGCCCTATAGTTCTATTTTTGTTTTTAACTTATTGCCTTGGAGAACTTTCCAAGGCAGTATAGACGAATCACTAGTTTTCAGTCCTGACTTCCTATTAGTACCATCTGGGAGCTTTTAAAAATTACCATCACCTTTCCTCCACCTAGACAAGTGAAACCTGAATCTCTGAAGGTAGGGCCCTGGAATTCTAAATTCTTAAAAGCTCCAGGCAATTCTGAAGTGTAGCTAAAGATTGAGAGGAGGCACTGGTTTAAAACCAGCAATTAAAAAATATTTACTCCTAGCATTTCCTGTTACGAATTTCCCGTATTTAAACATAAGAGATCCATGCTGAGAGTAAGCATGCCCTTGTACAGGCTCCCTGTGTGTACGTGTATCTCTTTAGGCTTGGTACCTACGAGCAGAAGCAGATGCTCAAGCAGAGGGGAGACATATGTAAAATCTATTCATTTATTTTTGTCATATTTAAAATTTAAACTGCCTGACTGCTCATCCAAAGGCCATATCAATTTATGCTCCCACCAAACAGATGATGAGATTTCCCATTTTCCACCCCATTGCCAATATGTGATAGTGTCAATGTCTTACATTTTTCTCCATCTGATGGTGAAATGGTATCTCATTTTAATTTACCTGTCCTCAGTTTCTAGTGAACTTATGTTTGCATATTGCTATTGTTTTGTTGACATTTTTCTTTGTAAGAGTTATTGGTATATAGTCACTCTTGGGTCTGTAGGGGATTAGTTCTAGGACTCCTCGAGATAGTAAAATTCATGGGTGTTCAAGTCCCTTACATAAAATGGCATAGTATTTGCATATAACCTACACATTTCTTCTTGTATACTTTAAATCTATATTACTTATAATATGTAATGCAATGTAAATGTTATGTAAATTGTTACACTGTATTATTTAGAGAATAATGACAAAAAAATCTTTGTCTGTTCGGTACAGACACAACTATCCATTTTTTATTTCCCAAATATTTTTGGCCCATGGTTGGTTGAGTCCATGGATACGAGGGTCGACTGTACCCTGGATATTTATTCTTATCCCTTCTGTTTGTTGAAAATACTTTCTGTTTGTTGTACAAAATTTTAGGTTTTGATACAATGAGATTGGTCAGCATTTTTTTTTTTTTTTTGCTTTTTTGTGTCTTACTGGTTAATTAACCCTTTCCAACCCCAAGATTAAAATATATATGTGTGTGTGTGTGTATATATATATATATATATATTTTTTTTTTTTTTCTCCTTCTTTTTTTTTTTTTCTGAGATGGAGTCTTGCTCTGTCACCCAGGCTGGAGTGCAGTGGTGTGATCTCGGCTCACTGCATCCTCCGCCTCTTGGGTTCAAGGGATTCTCTTGCCTCAGCCTCCTGAGTAGCTGGGACTATAGGCACGTGTGTGGCACCATGCCTGTCTAATTTGTGTATTTTTAGTAGAGACAGGATTTCCCTATCTTGGCCAGGCTGATCTCAAACTCCTGACCTCAGGTGATCCACCCCCATCGGCCTCCCAAAGTGCTGAGATTACAGGCGTGAGCCACTGCACCCTGCCAGTTTTTTCCTAACTTTTAAAAATGCTTAAACATTTTAAATTTAGCTCTTTGTCAGGGATTTATCTTTCTGATCGGCATCAGGCACGTATTGGATTTCACTCTTCCACTCACCTGCAACACCACTACTTCTACCAACATATCACTCCTCCTCCTCTTCTTCCCCGCTCTGGTTTGTGTGTTACTGAGAATGAACTTCATGTCAGGCAGTGCTGAATTTATATTGTTAGTGAGCTGCTTCATTCAAGCATATTATCTTTGTTTTTACAGATGAGGAAACTGAAGCACAGAGAAGTTGAGTAAGACCAAGGTCTCAGTTAGTAAGCAGTAGAACAGCACTTACACTGTGAATTTGTCAGTTCATCCTTTTTCCACAGATTTGAAATGCCACCTTTATCATATACTGGATTTCCATATATATGTGTGTGTGTATATGTGTGTGTTTGTATATATGTATGTACATGTGTATACACACACATCTATATATTTATATCTCTTTCTGGACTCCTTTTTATTCCATTGAGTTATTTGTCTATTCCTGGGCCAATATCACATGATTTATTTAGTACAAGTTTCTAGCGTATTTTGATAGCTGATAAGGAAAGTCTCTTATTGTTGCTCTTTTTAAAAAATGTCTTGGCTATTCTTGAACTTGCCTTTTTCTTTTCAGAAATGAATTTTAGAATCAGCAAGATACTTCATGTCCCTTAAACCTTAGTTTCCTCATCTTTAAAAATGGGGCTTTTTTTAGTGTATGCATTACAGTGTCTAGCACGTAGTTTTTTTTTTTTTTTTTTTTTTTTTGAGACGGAGTCTTGCTCTGTGCCCCAGGCTGGAGTGCAGTGGCGCGATCTCGGCTCACTGCAAGCTCCGCCTCCCGGGTTTACGCCATTCTCCTGCCTCAGCCTCCCGAGTAGCTGGGACTACAGGCGCCTGCCACCACGCCCGGCTAATTTTCTTGTATTTTTAGTAGAGACGGGGTTCACTGTGTTAGCCAGGATGGTCTCGATCTCCTGACCTCGTGATCCGCCCGTCTCGGCCTCCCAAAGTGCTGGGATTACAGGCTTGAGCCACCGCGCCTGGCCTAGCACGTAGTTTTAAGTAGTTATGAAGTTTTAAAAAAAGTCATCCAGAATGTATAAAAAACTTAAATTTCCTTTGTGTCGCTTGCTGTTTGATTTAGGCATCAAGTGATTTGCTTAAACTTTTCTCTCTAGTGAAACCGTCTTTAGTCTATCTTATAACACACAGTTTGGGTTGCTGCTTAGTTCTATGGAAATGTGTGTATGGTGGACAATGATAGGCTCAGAAGAAGATAAGGCTACCCCTGAGTGATGATGTGTTTATTCTGCTATACTATTCTGATTCCGAAGATTGCATCATAGCCTCCCTTCTTACAAACTTTTCATACTGAATTCTGCTTTTTTGACAAGGTCTCTCTTTGTCAAGGAGAATAGAGGCCGACTTCAATTGTGTGGCATGGAAGGTTTCTATTAAACCATCTCAAACTTGATTGTGTTAATCATTAACGTATAAAACATGCTCAACCTACTTACAACAAAATAAACGCAATATAAAATTTCACTGAAGAACTCTATAGAGTTCTTGACTTTTTTCCTTCTCCACTTTAAAAAGCTCTCTTTTGGTAGGGATATTAACCCTTTAAGATTATTCATTAACCTGGGAAAGTGTCCACAATTTGTTGAGTGCAAACAGAAAAATACTAAATCATGTATTCAGTATGAGTTCAACTAATAAAAGAAAGAGAAGTGTGTCTGTATGTATGCAGGATAGATGCTCTATAACCTAAGTATTACCAGTAGTTATCATTGGGAATGTGATTATACTTGATGTCTATATGCTCTTTATTCTTTCATATAGTTTCAAGATTTCTTATAATGGGCTATAAGCCAGGAAAAAGTTTAAAAAATTAATTAGATATTGGCAAAAAGATGTACATTGAGCGATTGTTAAGATGTAGATTGATGTATTCACAACTTTATATTAATTCACAGTATTGATTTGCTCACTCAACAGTTATGTATTGAGTGCTTACCATGCCAAGTGATGTGCTAGATACTGAAGAACCAGCAGTGAACAAAACAGATACAGTACCTTCCCCCCGTGAGCTTATTGTCTGATAAAGGAAAAAGGCAATACATAGTTTTAAAATGTTCACACATCTCCATCTTGTCTATTATTTGTACCGACTTTTGTATGAAATTTTCTTTCTTCTGAGACATAATATATAACTCTGTGTGTGTGTTTTCAACCAAGTCACTTTGCAAAACCAACCACAATTCCTTGTTTGGGAGGTTGTCTGCAGTGTTATCGAGAAACTCTAGGAACCACTGAGTAGTATAGGGAGGTTGGATAAACAGGAAAAAGAGATATCCTGAAAAAGAAAGGGGAAAGCTGGACCAGATATTATGATATGGGCCTCTCTTTCCCTGGCTAATTCCTGTCTATTCTTCAGAGGTCAGCTCAAATGTCACCTCTCCTGAGAAACTGCTTCTGCTTCCTACAGCCCAGGTTAGGATTTTCTCCTGGATGTACCCAACATCTTGTGCTTGTTCCCATCATAGCATCACAGTATTACAGTGTATTGTAGTTACCTCTTTACTTGTTTGTTTCAAGCTGTAAGCTCCTTGAAGGCAGGGATTTTCTCTTACCTTTCACTTTATTCGTTGTATGAAGTACAGTCTCTGACTATAGTGGACCTTGTAAAGGTGATGAATTTCCTTTTTGACAGAAGCAGAGAGTTATAGATATTGAGTAAAATAAACATTTACATTTGCTTAAGTGATACGGGCTCTGGTTGTACTCCTACAGATAGTGAGTGTGGACTTTAGGGTTTGACTCTTAGAGCCCATTCTCAGCCAGTGGACCCTAAATATAGCAGCCAACCTAAATATAGCTGCCAATGCAAGATAGATTTGGTCAGGTTTGGGGAGCTGGCTTTATTAGCTCTCCAGTCTTCTAGTGTTGGCTGCCACCTGGCCTCATGAGACAGGGGCTACCAAGTGGAATCCAGGTGCTTCGTTCCCTCTGAGTTATCCCTTGAATTCTAAGAAATCTTAGTGCACATTTGTGTTGAATAGAGTTCACCCTCTGGACATCCCTGTTGTGGGAGCCTGCTTGGCACTGTTGCGCAGTGGTGCTCAATCCAGGGCAGTGTATGGATGGTCGGTGACTGGTCAGCCCCTTCTCATCAGCATCACTTTTTGTCTTATTCTTCCTAATGCCCTCTCCCCACTCTAATCCCACTCTATTTCTTTGGTTTCACCCTTCCTCTTTCCCCCTTTTTTCCTTAGTATATAATCTACTGCTCGTTAGACCAGCCAGTAATATAATGGGCCTTCCTTAACTCCTCAGAACAATTGAATTTTGCTTTGACTTTTGCCTTAGGTTGTTGAATCTGGCTAGTGAAGTTAGTATTAGGGTGACCACTCATTCCATTTTGCCTGGGACCGCTCCCGTTTTAGCACTGAAAGAGCCCTGTGTCCTGGGAAACTCCTCAGTCTTGCATGGCTTATTACTTTAGTTAGGGCTGACCTAGGAAACTGCTGTGTCACAAGTGACTTGGATAATTCTGAAGTTTTGTTTTCTAATACTTCCTTGAATTCAGCATGTAATTTTTTTTCCATCAGAGACTATAATATCAGATGATGCTATGACACAGGAAATGAATCATCTCTGTTCTTGCTTAATCTTTAGCCAAAAGCGTTTGAACAATACTTGAATCTGGAAGATGGCAGACTGCTGACTCATCTGAAGATGTGTTCTGCGGCGCCCAAACTTCCTTATGATCTCTGGTTCAAGAGGTGCTTTGCGGGATGTTTGCCTGAATCCAGTTTACAGAGGCAAGTATGTCTTTCGAAGACATATTGAAGGCTTGGCATTAGAGCAGAGTTCTGGCCTTTCATGCGGTCATCCCTCAGAGTATAAATTTGCTTTAGAACAATACAGTAATTTGAAGCTCAGTCCTCCAGCAGCTACCATAACAGCACATGATTATGCTTATTCTTGAATATATAGTTAGAAAAATTGAGGGCCCTCAGTGCATTAGATGCTGTGAAATAGTCACACCTCAAATGGTCTCCACCAGTTTATATAAGCGTCAGCTCCTCTTTTCCAGAAATGTGACAAATCCTCCTCTAGCAGAAATCTGAGTATTAGTTTCATCATGATATCTTTAAAGAAGCTGAAGGCAGTCAAAGATTTGAGACTCAAACCAAGGTCTTCCAGTCAGTTTCAGACATGTCTGGGTATTTCGGAGTCCAGGTGCCACCCATTAAGACTTTGTGATGTAGTAGAATAGTAACTCTTAAAATAAGTTATGGCACTGAACAGTGCAGTACACAGAGAATATTATAAGATAATATGTAACTAAGTGTATCAAGTAGAATACCAACTTTTAGGAGTTATGGGAATGATCAGAATTATTATTTTAGAGTGTTTATAGATCATTAACGGGCTCCTTAAGCCCTTAGAGAAGTTTAAGGAGTCTGTCCCCAAAATCACTGGCAGTGAAACTGAATTTATCTCATTTCATGTACATCTTTTGTTGTCTCTTAGTAGGCTATAATTATAGCATTACGGAATATTAGCAGAATATATACCATTAGTTTAGGATTTTCTTTTTCTTCCTCAAAAATGTCAGGTTCACAACATGAGGGAATATGATTTTGGTAGATGCCTAGTGGAGCAGTAATTTTTAGTGAACTTTCCTTTTTCCTTCTAGTGCTGATTGTATCTAGAATAGATTTCAAATGGCTTCTGTATTTTGTTGTTGTTTTGATGATGATTTCATAAAAGTTGTTCTTTGAAGCTTTTACATAAAATTGGAGCAAATTTTATTTTGTAATTTGAGATGTCTAGGCTAAGCATAACGCTCAAACTCATGTAATTTGATTATATCTCCTTATTTTTGTAGGGTTTGGGATAAAGTTGTGAGTGGATCCTGTAAGATCCTAGTTTTTGTAGCTGTCGAAATTTTATTAACCTTTAAAATAAAAGTTATGGCACTGAACAGTGCAGAGAAGATAACAAAGTTTCTGGAAAATGTAAGTGTGCTTTGATTTGATTTTGAATCTGGAAATGAAGTTACCTTAGCAAGTCAGATTTTCCTATTACATTAGATTATTTCAGAGAAGTAATAATTAGATTATTTCAGAGAAATAATACCATAGAATGTTTCAGAGAATAATTATTATAATGATTATTTTAGAGAAATTATTTAAGAGAAATAATAATTTGACTTGATTTTGAATCTAGAAATGAAGTCACCTTAGCAAGTCAGATTTTCCTGTTACATTAGATTATTCCAGAGAAATCATACAGTATATTTTTAAATTATAAGAAACATTTTTCCCTGAAAAAGTTTGGCCTAAAGTTGGCCTGAGGATTAGTTTGCATCCTGTCTTTGGGAGATGATGGTCTGAGACCATCTTGTGAATGTGTGCACTTAGAACCAGAGTCTCATCCTCCATGTGACTATCATCAGTTATGTCAGGAAAAGGAAAAGGTGAGATCTGTCATTTTACAATGAGTAATTTTTGTCAGTTCAAAAGGGATTCTGTATTTTGGAGGATTTTGTAAGCCATTTCATTTCTGTTACTGTCTCTGGTGTAATCCCAGTTGGGTTTATTAATATACAGTATTAACCTGGCATATTGCTGAAAAAGGCAATGGTAACGAAATTAACTTTTCCCTCCCTATGTATCTTGGAATACCCTTTACCAGGCAAGAAATAGGATTAAAGAGACTTATGCCTGAATGATTTTCACAGAATCCCAAATCTATTCATTTTTAAAATAGTATGGCTCTCGTTTAGGCCGGGCGCGGTGGCTCACGCCTGTAATCCCAGCACTTTGGGAGGCCGAGATGGGCGGATCACGAGGTCAGGAGATCGAGACCATCCTGACTAACACGGTGAAACCCCGTCTCTACTAAAAATACAAAAAATTAGCCGGGCGCGGTGGCGGGCGTCTGTAGTCCCAGCCACACGGGAGGCTGAGGCAAGAGAATGGCGTGAACCCGGGAGGCGGAGCTTGCAGTGAGTGGAGATTGCGCCACCGCACTCCAGCCTGGGCGACAGAGCGAGACTCCGTCTAAAAAAAAAAAAAAAAAAAAAAAAATAGTATGAACATTTGAATAATGGCCTGGTAAATTATAATAAAGTACTGAGTCAATGTGTGTTGAATAAATGAATAATCATCATTATAACCAGAGGTGGCTAACAGTGCCAGGCCTGTGCTAAGTATTTTCCATGGGTTATCTCATGTCATACTATGAACAGCTCTGCGAAGTCGGGCTATCATTTCCCCCATTTTAGAGATGGGGATTTGAAACCCAGGTAGCTTAGGTAACCCGCCCGGGGGTGCACAGTTAGTGAGCAGTGCAGGATTTGAACCCAGGCAGGCTGACACTGGAGCCCTTTCCTGTCCTCGGGTAGCATATGATACAAGCCTTTTATGCTGTCACTTTCTGAAAAACAGCGAAAACTCCCATGGTAGTGAATTTTATGCTACAGCGAATGAGGGAAGACACTGAAGATGTCAACACTAAAATTTCACAAAGACTGGTTTGCTTGTCCACAGATTCCCCAGGACAGCTCAGACGCGATCGTGAGCAAGGCCATTGACTTGTGGCACAAACACTGTGGAACCCCGGTCCACTCAAGCTGAACGCACCTGCTGGCTGTGGACCGTCTGCCAGGCCCACCCTGAGTGTTGTGTTCTTGGCATGTGATCTGGGAAACTGATTGAACAATACACTTTTCTTGCTCTGGTGCTCAAAGTGGTTTTTTTTTTTTTCCCCAATAAAATTATTTAATTGAAATGCCTGGTGTTGCTGCGTTGGGGAGCAGCATCTTGCAGTGACATAGAAATGTAAAGTTCATCTCTGAATAGCATTTCAAAAGGGTTGTTAGAAAATAGCTTCTCGATTTTAAAGCGGTTTAGTCAGGGCGAGTGAGTGTGTTAAGCAGCAATGCGTAAGTAAGCCTGCCCTGCCTCTAATTGGCACCAAACTAGTTACTTTTAAGGTCTATTTGTAGAATAAGAGTGACTTCCTTTTGTTGACACCTCAGATTTGGCTTTTGTTGATGCAGTGCGTGTTTAAATATAAGCCAACTGCCTTCTGAGGCTTCATCTTGCTAAGCAGGCTTTAAAAAATTCCTTATTCTTTTTTCTCTTTGGGCCAGTTGGAATGAAACCATTATTGAACAAAACGTGTTTGAATTGCTCCTAGGAGCAAGTACTTGTTGGATATTTTGCTGCACTCCTGTTTTACTTGATGGGGCGTTAAATGTGGGATGTTAGGGAGCACTGTCCCACACACTAAAGACGTGAGAGAAATGGCCAGTGAAGGTGAACAGCTCATCACCCCAGGCCAGCTTGTGCCGCGTAAATGGCGTGGCCACTCTTCACTGGCTAGTTCCCGGCTTTGGGAGTAGTGAGTGAAAGGGGACCCTTTGTTTCACACCGCTTCAGCCTTCAGACCTGCAAGAGCCTGAGTGGTAAGTTGGATTTTCCACCCACCCCCTAAAAGAGGAGGGCAGCTATGAAGTTATAGAGGTACAATTCTGAGAATTCAGGCCCTCCCTAGTGTGTGAAATATCTGTTGGAAAAAAGTTCAGGGAAAGTGTGAGTTGTTGAAATCTGCTGCTTCTGAATACTGACATACCCAAGAGTATTTAATTTTTTAAAATAAAATGCACTCCAAAGAAAAACCTTTTAAAGCAAAATTGCTGCCTAGAGTTAAAAATTTAATAAAAAATGACTGATTGCCAACCATTTATGCCGGAGCCAGGCAGGAGCGCTGGTACTCTTAGGGAGCAGGAAGGCTTAGGGGCTGAAGTTCCTCTTACTTTGCTGTTTTGGCTGGAGGCCAGCTGATCTGAAATGGAAGACTCTTACTGTACTGCTAAGGGATCTAAAAATAAATATTCTGCAAGTATATTCTGTCAAACCCAGTTTGGTAAAACCTTTCTGGCTCTAGGGTGTGGGGCGACGATTTTTTCTGGAAGTTAGTCAATCTGAGAGTTTTTCCTTATTAAAACACTGGTTGGCGGAATGATGTTTTTAAGGCCCACCATGAGAAAGTGGTGGAGAGGATGAGCATCCAGTTTCGCTTTCGTAGCAGAATTTCACTTCGCTGAGAGCTAAGTGTTTTGAAAATGTTTGTGCCTGCTGTCTTGGGTAAGGAGCGCAGTTCCTGGTAAAAATACATTCATATGCCTTTTCTTCAAAACGTTTTGTCAGGATACTGCAGAATTTTTCCTTCAACCCACGGTTCCTGTCACAAACTATTGTGGCTAAAATGTGGGATTCTTCCTTGCCCTTGGAAAGCTGGAATTTAACATGATCACATGTAGTTTCTGCTCTTTCCCTTCTAGAGATTTGTCTTAAACACGAATGAGAAAACATCTCAGTCCTCTTGGCCAGGAGAAAGGAAGGCCAAGGAAGGTTGGAGAGTGTGTTTGTGTTGGGGCTGTGGCTTTGGTCTGCTGACAAATCGAATGGATGGATTGCTTAGAGGTACAATTGTGTAGAGGATTGTGTGTACACAGGCTTGTGTGTCAAGGCTGTTTCAGGAAATAAGGTCAGGGTTCATGAGAATGAAGCACTTTCTTTGTTAATGGAAAGTTCGCCTCAAAATTATGGGGCAACACTGAAATCATATGATGCATTGAAGGAGCTCCGAGGACCTTCTTTCACTGTAGCTCTGGGTATGACAGGCACTTGCCCTCTCTTGAATTGCATAAGTTCCCTGTCATGTGGTCATCACCTCCCCATGGTGACTCAAGGTTATGATGTTTTCCCTCTGAAAATGAAGAACCTGGAGGGAAGCCAGTGGGGATGCGGAGGGTAAGCAAAGAGCTTAGATGTCCGGGACCAGATACTAAAATGAGTCGCTGGCTCACGTGGCCCAAGTGACAGCACCTGCTCCTTTTCTGTGACATAAGCAGCAGAGTGACATACCAAGTTCTCCAGCCAAGGCAGCCTTTGGGGAGCCTGGTGAGGGGTGTGGAGTGTGGACAGTGAATCTGCCCAGGTCACATAGGGTCAGCAGCTTTTGTCTTTAGCTGGGTGTTTTGGGTCTAGAAGGGCCAGAAGATGCTTTTCTCTGCCCTTGACAGAGAGGGAAAGGAGTGTGGGAATTTGGGGAGCGGGAGTTGATGGCATTCCCTCTGTTGGTGGAAACAAAGAGCCATTTCTCCTTGAGACTGTGTGCCAAATGAAACTGCCTGTGGCTCTTGGCACAAGCTGTGGCTCCTAGATCAGCTGGTGTTCCTCCAGAGCTGGCGCCAGTTTGAGTAGGAGGGAGGGGTGAGGGATGGCGGAACGGAGAACAGAGGGCGGTAGTGATTTCTGGGTGACCATGGTGGGGGTGCTGACCTTTCACGGCTTTCCTGACCAGTCGCCTTTTCCACTTTGGTCCCTCTGTCAGCCTTGCCTTGGGGACGTTAAAAAGTGAGTAGACAGTTGCTAGATGAGGTGATAACTCCCCATAAGGGGAGCCCCCACCCAGGGACTGATTTTACTCCAGGACAATGACAAAGGGAGTCAGCGAACGTTATCAGAGGACACACGAGAATCCTAGAAGTTCATCCTGACTAAGCACAACTCCAAATTGAATATCATAGCAAGCGCTTAAGGTTCACACCTCCAGCTCATACCTAATACTGATGTTTTCCTTTGCAGTTTACCAGAACTTACACAGCAGGCACTGGGGACTGCCAGAGCTCACGCTAAGCACTGGCTTTATCACAGAGTCACTTCCTAGTCTTCTCTATCATCCTTTCCTAGAGTCTTAATAAGTAGCAAGCTGGTACTTGCTGGAAATTTTAGCATCTCTTTTCCCTGCTGCTGCCTGCCCTCTGGACATAATACTAAGAAGATTTGAGAGGGGGGCAGCAAAGAGGAGAAGCTTTGGAAGATTCACTACTAAACATCAGGTGGCTTGCACGCTACACCACGGTGGCCCTGAGATCCCACCTCCCGTTTCTCCCTCTTCTGACCAATCTGTTTGGTTCACTTGTCCTTTTATTTGTTTTCATTCAATCATGAAATATATGTCAATACACTCTTAATTCTGGGCCAGGTGCTGAGCTTAATTGCGGAACAAGACACGGTATCTGCCCTCTCGGAGTGTACAAGCATGCAGGGAGGACATATTTAACAGATATATGATTTGTTCCAGACGTCTTTAGGAGAAACTCTCAACTCCTGTGCTGCCACACCAGGGAGAAGGTAGACTGAGTCTGTCCAGAAGCTCCAGAGGAAGGATAGAACTGCTCTGAGATGTGTGATTCTGTGTCCCCTTCCCTTTATTAATGGAAGAGGTGACAGGAAGAGCCTTGGATCAGGGAGGGGGCATGAGCATCTACCCCACTCACTAGTTTCGTGAACCAAGCCAATCACTTAGTCTGTGTCTTGGTTTCCCATCATCAAACAGCGATTCTGTTACATCCCTTCCTCCTCAGCATGCTTGTGAGCATCACATGAGTTGGCTGTGAAAGCACTTTTAGAAGCATGGAACTCTGTGGATATTTAATATTTTCAAGAGCATCACTTGCAAGAGTGTGGCTGGGCACTGTCTCTATTTCAATCTACTCTATGCTTGGAGGCCTAACTCAGCTCTACCTGCTCTGAAAATTTGTTAACTGCCAAGCTCAAAGTTCATTTTCCTAACTCTGAGCTTCTGTGACATTTCAGGGACCACTCATTTAGCAATAATTGTTTGGAAGTCTCTTGTTCGGTTGTCTTGAACTTTTATTAAGTGTTCCATGTGGTTTCCCTCTAAGATGCAAGATTCTTGAAGCCAGGGGCTGCCTTTAGCACACCCGAGGCACTGGCAGATTCAGCGTCTGGGGAGGGCCCTCTGTGTGGTTCATAGATGGTGCCTTCCTGCTGTGTCCTGGTGGAAGGAATGAAGTCTTGTCTTTCAGCCCCTTCTAAGCATCCTAATCCCATGCGTGAGGAACCACCCCATGACCTCACCCCTTCCAAAGGCCCCACCTCCAAATACCATCACCCTGGAGGCTAGGATTTCAGCACACACATTATAGGGGAAGACAAACATTGAGACTAATACATTGGTTTAGAATGATCTGTTTACATCCCAGATTTATGTGACCTCCTTGAGATTAGTAATAATGACATACTTTTTTTTTTCATTCCCCCAGTGTCAAGCACATCTCCTAGCCCATGTGGGCTCTTCACGAATATTTGTTGAATATGGGAAGGCCTGGTTCAGCATTAAGACGCCTCCATTGACAAGTAATAGAGTTGTTCTGAAGCAGGCTTGCTTATAGGAGACTTTATTATAGGATGCAGGGGTGAGGCTGAGAACCTAAAGAAGGAGGGCTTGGAATCTGGGATGGGACTAAAGAGACCCTGGACCCTCTCGTCCTCTTATCTATGATCCACATTGTGTGTGGGCTCTGTCTGGAGTCTGTGTCTCTGCAGTCTGGATCGATCTGGTAGAAGATGTCCCACCCTAAGACACTAAATGTATATGTTACAGGTCCAGCCTCTGGAGACAGAGTCTTGTGACCCAATTCCTAAATCCATGGGAAAGAGGCTGTGGTCTGGCCTGGGGTTCGGGCTGTCTATGGGCCATTCACGTAGAGCTGAGTGGGTGGAGGCATCCCACAGCAGATGCAGGGCCACCAGGAGCCTCCCTTGTGTCTACTGCAGTGCAGGGAGTGGTGAGCAAGGGGCATGGTGGACAGGTCCACTGTGAACTGGGAAGAGACTCTCAAAGACTCTCTGCTCCACTTAGATCTGTTGACCAGATAAGTGCCCTCAGAAGTGCCAGAGGGCAACAAGAAGCCTTCTGCCTCCACTAAGTCTCAGTGACTTTTCCTGCACCACTTCTTTCTGGTTTCTGCCAGCCAGTCTGTAGGTGGACAGCCAGCCCTTTCCGATGGGGGCAGGCAGAGGGGTAATATCACACCAGCAGCCTTGGTGAACTCATTCATGTGGCTAGGTGCTCCCTTTGTGAACTTTCATACCAAGTCTAATTCAGTCCGAAAGTCTACAGGAAGTCGACTTTGCCCAGCTCCTTGCCCTCCACCTGGGTCAACTGGGGGCCTTCGCTGGCAGCAGCTGTGTTTGTCTCTGATTGCTCAGGAGGGTATATAGTTTCCCCGCAGGGTGTCCAACATCTGGGTGCCTAGACCAAGTTGGGCTGTGGCCAGACTGGGTGGCAGTTGAGTGAACCTGAATACAGCTAGTTAGGGGAGACAGCTGCTAAGGCTGACTGATTTTCAGATCCTACAGAAGGCATGTCCGGACCCGAGGAATGTCAGAGCTGGAGGGGAGCTTGCATATCACCCCATATACAGATAAGAGAAGTGAGGTTCCAGGTGGTCTAGTGAGTTATTTCTACAAGGTCACAGTAGCTGAGCAAGCTCTGGAACCCAGGCATCCCAGCTACCTGTCCAGAGTGTATTTCACCAAGCTACTCCCTCATTCGGAAACACTGACCCATCTTTCTCTGAACCTTAAAATCTCTCCATCTGGGCAGAACATTCCAGAGAGGCAGAATCTGCTTGGACCCATTGCTGGCTGGCTGGCTGGGTAACTCAGCACCATGTCCTTACCTGC